CACGTCCCCGCTGTCGCAGGTCTCGCTGCAGTACCTCAACACCGGGACGTGGCAGCACTTGTGCGGTGGGACCCTCATTGACCCCAGCTGGGTGCTGACGGCCGCCCACTGCATCAGGTGGGTGCTGGGGAGGGTCCATAGGGCTGCAGGACCTGACGGAGGAGGACGCGCCTGGGACGGTGGCCGTGGGTGTGGAGAAAACCATTGTGCACAAGAAGTGGAACTCCCTCCTCGTCATGTAGGGACAGGGACATCACGGCTCAGGGTCCCTTGTCCCCACGGCTTGGGGTCCCCTGTCCTCTTGGCTTCAGGGGCTCCCATCCCTCTGGTTCCAGGGCCCCTGTCCCTACAGCTTGCCGTCCTCCGTCCCCATGACTTCAGGGTCCCCCGTCCCCATGGCTCTGGGGTCCTCTGTCCCCACAGCTTGGTGTCCCCTGTCCCTACAGCTTGGCATCCCCTGTCCCCACAGCTTGGCATCCCTTGTACCCACGGCTCAGGGTCCCCCATCCCCATGGCTTGGCATCCCTTGTCCCCACAGCTTGGTGTCCCCAATTCCCATGGCTCCCAGGTCTCCCTTCTCCATGGCTTTGGGGTCTCCCACCCCACAGCTTGGTGTCCCCTGTCCCCATGGCTTCAGCATCCCCTGTCCCTACAGCTTGGTGTCCCCCCATCCCCATGGGTTCAGAGTCCCTTGTCCTCATGTCTTGGTGTCCCCTGTCCCCATGCCTCAGCATCCCCTGTCCCTACAGCTTGGTGTCCCCCCATCCCCATGGGTTCAGAGTCCCTTGTCCTCATGTCTTGGTGTCCCCTGTCCCCATGCCTCAGCATCCCCTGTTCCTATGGCCTGGGGTCCCCCTTCTCCATGGCTTCAGGGTCCCTCATCCCCACACCTTGGTATCCCCTATCTCCATGACTCAGTGTCCCTAATCCCCACGGCTTGGAGTCCCTTGTCCCCATTTCTTGGTGTCCCCATGTCCCTCCTCTCCCCGCAGCAATGACATCGCTCTGCTCAAGCTGGAGCAGGCGGTGGAGGAGAGCGAGACCATCCAGACCGCCTGCCTGCCGCCCGCCGACCTCGTCCTGCCCAACAACTACCCCTGCTACGTCACCGGCTGGGGACGCCTCTCCAGTAAGCCATTGGGGGGGGGTGGGTCCTGGGGAGGAGGTCCGGTGCTGGGGTCCGGTTTTGGGGTACGAGATGCCGGTTATCGTTGCAGCCAACGGGCCGCTGCCCGATATCCTGCAGCAGGCGCTGCTGCCCGTGGTGGACCGGGAGACCTGCTCCCAGTTCGGCTGGTGGGGCAGCAAGATCAAGACCACCATGGTCTGCGCC